TAACAGGACTCTGGGTCCAGTCTAACAGGACTCTGGATCCAGGGTCCAGTCTAACAGGGCTCTAGATCCAGTCTAACAGGACTCTGGATCCAGTCTAACAGGACTCTGGATCCAGTCTAACAGGACTCTGGGTCCAGTCTAACAGGACTCTTGGTCCAGTCTAACAGGACTCTGGGTCCAGGGTCCAGTCTAACAGGGCTCTAGATCCAGTCTAACAGGACTCTTGGTCTAGTCTAACAGGACTCTTGGTCTAGTCTAACAGGACTCTTGGTCTAGTCTAACAGGACTCTTGGTCCAGTCTAACAGGACTCTTGGTCTACTCTAACAGGACTCTGGGTCCAGTCTAACAGGACTCTGGGTCCAGTCTGTAACAGTACTCTGGGTCCAGTCTAACAGGACTCTGTTCTGTGTTTCAGATCTCTAACTACCAGGGTCAGGCCCGGGTAGTGGTCCAGCTGGTGACGGCTCTGACCCAGGTCCCTCAGCTCCACGCTCACAGTCTGGTGGGGAAACAGTGTGATAAAGGTATCTGCATCGCCGACCTGCAGTCCAAAGACTCCAGCATCAGGTCTGCATCACAGACACCTGCAGGCAGGGGGCGGGGCCACCTCCACCTGGTTCTGCTCCCACTGGACCCGTGTCGCTCACCGTTGTTCTGTTTCCCTTTAGTTTTCCCAACCTGGGGATTCTCCACGTGACGAAGAAGAACGTGGCGAAGACTCTGGAGGAGAGGATGATGGAGGCCCTCAGGATGGGCTACAACAGCGGCATCGCCATCCACCCAGAGATCGACGCCCTGCAGGGGGAGGTCCGGGTCCCACGAGAAGTCACGGGTCAGTGGTTCTGACGGCTTCAGCTGCTGCTCTGAAAATGTTCCCTCAGTGGACTTTCAGAATAAAAGCCTTTTACTCTGAAGGGTTTTCTTCTTGTTTTAATCTGAATCATGTCTCTGGATTCAGAGCCAAGGTGTTCTTCAGTAGAACTTTCTGTCTTTAACCGGGTCTTCTTGGTCCTCAGACCACCAGCGCAGCATCATCAGCATCGCAGCAGCCAATCAGGCCAAAGACATGGACCTGAGCGTGGTCCGGCTCATGTTCACCGCCTTCCTCCCCGACAGTGACGGAGGATTCTCAAGAAGACTGGAGCCCGTGGTCTCTGAGCCCATCTACGACAGCAGTGAGTCCAGAACCAACAGACCCACTGGACCTAACAGACCCAACTGACCCAACAGACCAACAGATCCAACTGACCCAATGGACCCAACAGACCCAACAGACCAACAGACCCACTGGACCCAACAGACCAACAGACCCAATGGACTAACAGATCCAACTGACCCAATGGACCCAACAGACCAACAGATCCAACTGACCCACAGACCCACAGACCCAACAGACCCAATGGACCCAACAGACCAACAGACCCAATGGACCCAACAGACCCAATGGACCCAACAGACCCAACAGACGCCACAGACCCAACAGACCAACAGACCCAATGGACTTAACAGACCCAACTGACCCAACAGATCCAACAGACCCAACAGATCCAACAGACCCAATGGGCCAACAGAATCATGTTTAGGGACAGGGTTCAGGTACAGGGACTCTGGTGAACAGGGTCTCAAATTGACAGGGAGTCAGGTGGACAGGGACTCGGGTAGAAAGGGACTCAGGTGAACAGGGTCTCAGGTGGACAAAGACTCAGATGGACAGGGACTCATGTGGACAAGGACTCAGATGGACAGGGACTCATGTGGACAAGGACTCAGATGGACAGGGATTCATGTGGACAAGGACTCAGATGGACAGGGACTCATGTGGACAAGGACTCAGATGGACAGGGACTCAGGTAGAAAGGGACTCAGATGGACAGGGACTCGGGTAGAAAGGGACTCAGATGGACAGGGACTCAGGTAGAAAGGGACTCAGATGGACAGGGACTCGGGTAGAAAGGGATTCAGGTGAACAGGGACTCTGGTGGACAGGGATTTAGGTGGACAGGGTCTCAGGTAGAAAGGGACTCAGATGGACAGGGTCTCAGATGGACAGGGTCTCAGATGGACAGGGTCTCTCTTGTTCTAGCTCACTGCAGGTTTGGTTCCTGGTGGTCTTCCTGGGTTGTTCCTGGACTCATGTCCTTCCAGCTGAGGACAGTTCAGGTCCTGTCCTGTCCTTGACAAAGTGCTGACTCATCAGATGTTTGAACTGAGGATCTTAGAATCTGAAGTTATTTTAATCCACACTTCTGCTCAGAGCCTCTCTCACTTCTGGAACTCGTTCCAATAAATCTGTCTGTTTATTAGCATTTATCTGATAAAAGATTTTCTTCACTGACAAACAGAACCTACCAGCTGCAGTCAATCATGATCACTAGTCAACCCTCCAGCTTTGATTTTTATTCTCCTGTTTGTCCTCAGAGGCTCCGAACGCCTCCAACCTGAAGATTGTGAGGATGGATCGGACCGCCGGCTGCGTGACGGGAGGAGAGGAGGTCTACCTGCTCTGTGACAAAGTCCAGAAAGGTGAGTCTTGTTCCTGCAGTCATCGTTCTTTCATTCACCTGGAAGGTGCAGATCGTTGCTCCTGCCAGCCGAGCCCTAACTGTCTGCAGGTGCTGTTTCCTGGTTGTTGTGTTGGAGGAAGTCCAGCTCCAGGGACTTCCCCTCAGATATGTAAATCTGTGAGGAGGAAGTGACAGAACCAGGCTGCGTTCATGTTTTATCTTTGTGTGTGCGTGTGTGGGCGTAGATGATATCCAGGTGCGGTTTTACGAGGAGGACGACACGGGGTTGACCTGGGAAGCTCTGGGAGATTTCTCCCCCACAGACGTCCACAGACAGGTGAGTGACCGCCTGGACCAACAGAACCGGGCCGTGCAGACCTCAGACCTCTCTGGGAGATCATTAAATACAGTTAGACTTTAATATGTACAGGTGTTTTTAGTCTGTACGATCACCTGCTGTGTCTCTGGTTTTATGACGTATGATCTTTGTCACGGGTTCAGCTTCACGCTTCGTCTGTTTTCAACAGTTCGCCATTGTCTTCAAGACTCCCAAGTAYCGAGACCAGAAGCTGCAGAAGCCGACCTCTGTGTTCGTTCAGCTGAAGAGGAAGTCTGACAACGAGACCAGCGAGCCCAAACCCTTCACCTACCACCCTCAGATCATAGGTGAGACAGGTGGCTCCACCCTCAGATCATAGGTGAGACAGGTGGCTCCACCCTCAGATCATAGGTGAGACAGGTGTCTCCGCCCTCAGATCATAGGTGAGACAGGTGTCTCCGCCCTCAGATCATAGGTGAGACAGGTGGCTCC